GTGACCTATTCTGGGTAATTCAAAGGGCTATTTGGATTTATCTAATTTTGGTGAATAATAATGAAATATGTAGGATTTTCCTTCTATTAGGAAATGGAGGGCATTTTCTAAGTCTTCCCATCTCTAATTCCTTAATCAGTGGGAAGGGATTAATACTTGAAAATGTTTGCATTTAATGATCAAGTAAGAAGACAAATTGTTCATAGGCACCCAGGTTAGAAAAACTGGGATTTAACAAGCAAGCAATCAGAGGCTGAATTGAATAGCTAAAGGGTTTCTGTCCCTTTCTAGAATAATCACAGATTTGAATTAGGCACAAAGCAGAAAAAACATTGTTCAGTTTATAAATGCAAGTAATAAAATCTGTAAGAAAATGTATAGCAAAGCTCCTCCTCCTTTAAAAAAACACAAAATTTATTTGTGTAGATTTTGTGAATATATGTATGGTAAAATCTTTACAATAACATGAATATACAATTAGTTTGGAAAATGATTAATGCCAGAATATTTTAAAGCTTTATTCCCCTACCGACAGCATAACTCAAAGATGCTTTTGCTGTTTTTCCTTCCCTTTAAAAACTCAAACTCTTAATTGAAAAACAATCTGTGTTATTCAATATGGATAAAATAATTACATTTGGGTCAGGTATAGGGTTGGGTTTCTTTGGACATTTTTTAAAGAATCTTTTCCTTAGTCCTTATCTTTCTGTTCCCTGAAGAATTTCTGTGTCTCTTCAGGCAAACCAGGCAGTAGTAGCAGCAATAACCTTATTTACAAAGAGGGCAGGAGGGCAGAGGGTTGCAGCCCCAAGGACTGGCGTTCAATACTGTCCCTGTCATCCTGAGATCAGAGGGTTTGCCCCAGTCCAGGTGAATAATGACCAGGAACACTTTGTGACTGATGACTGCTCTGTTTGGGGAGCTAATTGAAGTCCCTCAGTTCCTAGTGAATAATGCTCTTTCTAGCTGTGACAGTAATGTCATCATGAGGGAAAACATGTGGCCAGCTAATGAGGAAACAGAACATGGAGCCTCTACCCCCACCCCTGGGTGCTCTACTCAGCCAAGCAGGAAGTAATACTTTTACATATATATGATACTCTGTAAAAATCTTATTGAATTAGCAGAACTAGCAAAAAGGCTATCTAAACTTTGATCTTTTTGACTAATATTATGAATCTGCTCAGGCTTCTGCAGATCAATTAGGTGCACCAAGAACAATCAGCCTTCTGAGCATCTATGGCCTGTGCTGATCTGGGTCCTTGCCTTCATGCTCATTACTCTCCTGTAGGTACCATGTCTCCGCCACATAAGAATTTGTGTTGTTTTCTGGACACATCACGCTCTCTTCCATCTTTCACCTGTATCCCCACCCCACCAGTATTTTCCTCCCTATACCACTGTTTATCTCCATTTCCCCCTTCTCTCTTTTCCTTGCTGGCTCCTACTTGGTCTTCAATACTCAGTTCAGTATTCCCTTTTCTTCCTAAGTCAGCTACTTGTACCCTTCCTGGTTTCCCATAGCCTCATCTATTTTAGCATTAATTGTATTGCATTGAAATGGTCTGTTTAAATATTCATCTTCTTTTGTAAGTTGATGATGCATGATGGATGCTCAATAAATGTTGCTTGAATTGAACAGAATAAATTCACAGTATGGTTTTCTAAATGGAAATTGGCTTGTATCTATCAACTCAGTAATGTAGTGGTTAAGAGCAAATCTCAACTCTACCACTTACTAGTTGTATGAACTTGGGTGAGCTACTGTCTGTCAAAGGCCAATAATAATACTTCACAGGCTGGTTGAGAGGTTTAAATGAGATGATGAAGTCAGAAAAAATGAGACAAATGATAACCATTCTTATCAGTGCCAAGTACAAGGTAGGTTCTCAGTAAATACTTGCTAAATTGTATTTTATAATTTTAACAAGTTATATCTCATCGACTAGTATTGTTTCCTAGATGCCTTGTTCTACATGCAAGTTAAAAATAAAAAGCAGGTTTCTTTTCTAATTAAAAGAGTTAAAATGAAAACTTTGCTGTAGAAAGTGTCCAGAGAGCTAGAAAAATAGATACTGTAGGTGGAATCAGGAATATATTTGTAGCATTCAGCTCTGGGGGTAAAACACATCAAACTTCTCAGCCACTGTTTTAGCCACCCAAGGTAGGTGATGAGTCATATTAAATAAATAATAAAGAACACAATATTAATTTATTTTGAGATCAGAATAGATTTGATAAACTTTTCAAATTGCCATCCCCTGGGGAGTGAAGGAAGTAAAATGCAAGTACATGGTTAGAGCTGGCACCTTATCACACCTTCTGCTCTCTTGTCCTGTGGTGTGATAGAAAGATCCAGAATTCAGAGCCAAAGAACCCACACTTAAGTTTTAGAGATTCAATTGAACAAAATACCTGACCTCTTGGGCCTACATACGTGGAAATGCACTGCAAAATACTACAACTTTGGGCATTATTTTTACTAGGCATTCTGGTAAAGCTCTTCATCTTTACATTTCCTAGCACAAGGGAAGTTTTTGACAAATACTTGTGGAATATATGGCTTTAAATGAATCATGAATGGATAACTAGAGGCACTATGGTATAATAGGAACAACATGAACTTTGAATCAAGAAGGCCTGAATTCTAACCTTAGCTTTGTGGTCTTAACCTCACTGAGCTTTTGTTTTGCCTATATGAAATTAATAATAAATATACATCATAAGATTGCTCAAGGATTAAATAATATACACAAATATAAAATGCCAATATAAAGTGCTGGTACAATGCCTGCCACTCAGTAGGCACAACAAAATGTATCTTCTCTGTTTCTGATTATTAGCTAAAGGCTTGGTGGAGGCATTAACTGAATAACTAAGATAAAATAAATTATTTGAACATGAATTAAGTCTAATTTACATTGGAATAGCCCTTCACAGTGTTCAGAGCTCTCCAAAACACTTTATATTCTCTGATACTACTGATATTTTTGGAGCTAGCATTCTTACTGATGAGAAAACCAAATCAGACGTTGTAGCTTGTCCAAGACCAAACTGCTAGAAAGTGACTGATCCAGAACTGTATTCTTGGCATGATAATTTCTTCTCCAGTGTTCTTGCTGCTTCTGTCAGTCAAAGCTGGGCACCATTGACATTCATCATTATTCTGATGTTAGTCAAAAGATAGTGCTCTGGATAAAGAACATTGGGTCATTTTCAAACGGGTCACACTTAAAAAGATGGTTGAATTCTATTATTATTGTAATTATTATTATTATTATTAATAACTGAATTGCTGCATTAGTCATATGTCTTAGCATTAAGAAAAAATTATTAATTTGCTTTAGAGATGTTTTGGCACCCATGGTCAAAGCAATGAACACACTGTAATTAATACTGGAGTCCCAGAATCTCATTTTTATCTAATCCAAGACTGTATAACTATATATTTTAATTACTCATCCCATTTGTCACTCCTTCCTACCATTTTCTTTTCCTTTGGGTATGTCACAGGGAACTACATGCTATAATCCTATATATTCACTACTTACTGATACCCAGAAACTTCTGAAGTGGTTCAGACAGTAGTAGACCAATGACTTGTACTTCTGAGATGTTTAGAAACATACCCATTCCACATTTCATTACCCCTAAGCTAATCAGATATGTACACTCCAAATTTTCCTTACCAGAATTCCAGGCACAGGAAAGTTAGTAATGATGCTGAGGTGTATCATTTACTTTTTACATTCCAGTATGGAGCCAAGAACTTCACATGTTATCACCTCCAGTCCAGAAGAAACTGATCATAGTGTAGTCCAGAGGTGAGGGTGCAGTTTTTCTAGTTTAAACAATCTATGGACAGACTGTGGAGATTCTCCAATACCTTAACTGATTTTTTATTTCTACATCATTCTAAGTGTGTATTTCATTATAGATGGCAACATACATTATTGATTGGGGATCAGTTTTGAGTTTCAAGATGCTATGTGAAGATACTGAAATAAATATCTTATTCTCATTTAGTCTCAGTATAAAATTTAGAAACTAAGAACATGTCATTTCCTTTTCATTAGACACATTCAATTATGTAGTTAACCATGGTGTTTGCCTTAAAAGAGGGAAAATTATAAATTTGGATTATAGTTATTAAAAATAACCTGTTTTTCAATGTTTGCCAAGTCATTATTTGAAATGTTGAAGCATTCTTCTAAAGTTAACTGCAAACATACTTTATTTCATATAGTAATATTGTATAAACCTTTTAAAAAAGATTTTACTTAATTTTAAAGAGAGATAGAAAGAAGGGGAGTGAAACATCAATGTGTGGTTGCCCTAGCACACACCCTACTGGGGACATGGCCTGTAACCCAGGCATGTGCCCTGACTGGGAATTGAACCCGCAATGTTTTGCTTGCAGGCCTGCACTCAATCCACTGATCTACACCAGTCAGGGCCTGTATAAACTTTATTGTAATGCATTTTTACTTCATTATGAAGTTTCTAAACTATTTTCCCTTATTGTTCAAATAAAAATTATATGGGTTTTTACAAGCTACATTGAAAAGTAATCTCTTAAACATGGTTCAGAATACATGATGTTTATAAATTCTTTAGATGTACAAATTTTATTAAATCCGCTAAATTCTAATTTAATTTACACATCGTGAACAGTACATTTGTTTAGTTTAATTTACTGAAAAATTATTAAACTCTTTGATGATAAATTGTTTTAAAAAGGCATTGCAGACTGTGCTCCTTTATTATGCAAATGATGGCCTTTGCATCTTTTTCCCATAATAAAAATGAATATATTAATCTAATCTGTCTCCATTTCCCAATAAAGTTGTGCTTTTTGGGATCTGATAATCAGTTGTTTAACAATCTTTTAGAACGTCAATCCCAAATGTCTTAACATCAGACTGTGAAAGAAGGCAGAATTCAAAGGTATTTTATGTTCTTCATGATAATCTAGAATTTTTATTTGATTCCAGGTAACTTTGGACAATAGACACAATGGGATGTTTTCTCTTTTGTAATTAATTTATAACAATTAATTTTGTAAATAACACTTTAATTACATCATTGAAATAAAATATAGTGTGGGCTGAATACAGTGTATTACAGAAATACTACTTTGCTATAGTAATTTAATGACTGAAGCTACAGTGAATAACAATCTTACTGGTACTTGTGTACAAAATATTATACAGATTACTAACAAAGAAATTACAGCAGTTGCAAGGATGTTACCAGCTCAACAAACATCTAACAATACAATATTCTTCTAAGAGGAGAAGTAATAATGTTAGATTTACAGACAATAAAGAATTGTTTTCCACTTGAAACATTGGAAGTTAAAATCTAGATGATCTAGTATCTTCATTTATATTATTACAAGAAAAGGCTTCCTCTCCTGGGGACTCCAATCCCCAGCAGGCCTAGTGTACTAAATTTACATGAAGATAGCTTTTAGGATGCCACAGCAATGTAAAGAAACTTTTCTACCCCAAAACTACTGATTTGTAGGCCACTGCTTAAACATCTGACGTTTTTGAAAACCTATTTACATACATTCAGCCCAAATCAGTAGATAAGATGTTTTGTCTATATTACAATAGGCATTGTTAACATTTCATCAGAAGGCCAGTGCAAGACAATTGTTAAGAGCCATTGCCCAGCATTTAGGAGATTTTAAAATATCTTACAAATATACAGTTAGATTGTGAGAAATCTAATTTTGTGCATGGTATCAGTGGTCTCCGTTACAAACATGGAATGGCATAAATTAATCATTAGGACAGTAACAAGAATGCTACTCATCCAGGGCCTAATTCTCTTGTGGTGTTCGGGCCTATTTTCTGCAGGGTGAGTTTACGCGGCCAAAGTACATTGACCCTCGCACCAGATAGACTTGACTCAAAGTGATGGGGAGGCTTCTTCCAGATCCATGTTTCTTTTACTCATATTTCATATGGAATGAAAATTAGAGGTTCTCAGAGGCAGCCCTTCTTGTCTAAATAAAACTATTGTCCTAAGACTGAAAGATGCATCATTGCTCTGATGAAACTGAGCAGGTTGGAAATTTGGCCCTTTCTGAAGACATGTGATGGTACATAGAGGGCAAGGTCAGGACAAATGTGTTACCCTCAGAGGAAAGGAGATCAATCTGAAGCTGGACTTTTAAAAACTTATTAGAATCTAAGTTATGTTTAAATTAATAGGTCTAATTGAGAGACTAATTAATGAATGATACTAATAAATGGTAACTGTAATGAGCATATTCATGGGGAGAACATTTGAATGACCCAGATTAAGAAATGATATTAAAAGTGTCAAAGTAAATCAAACTAATTCAAATGCTTTCAGATGAAGGTGGCATAACACATACATGATGATATTTCACAGATATTTCTTAGAATGTCAGTGAGCACCAAGTGTAGTGCTGTCAGCCCCATGGTCCCTTATTTGATTACATGTGATTTAGATCTTGAAAGCACAACACACAATCAAGTCTACATTGCATACACACAAATACGGTTTCAAAAATGAATCCAGAGTTGTTGTTTTTTTCTACCCAATAACTAGAATTTCATTTTCACCAGGTTTTCACCTCTGTGAGAAGAAAATTGGTACTGCCTGGTAAGCTCTGAGACATGTGGATTAATATTCAGGGTAATGTGGGACAAAAGAGTGGCATTTCTAAAATGAAAATGAGGCCCTGGTGAGTTTTTTCATAAAGAATCTTTTCTCCTTCTTCTAATGAGATCCTGTTAATCCTCTAGCAACCTGAGCCCTCGTGTGCATATCACAGAAAGCAAAGTAAGGGAGCCAGCAGGTGGATTTGAGTTGTACAGACAGATGAGTATAAGTATCTCTGCTTGGTCCACAGGCCACTTTTGGCCTTAGACCATACACTGCAAGAAGACTCCACCAGGCTGAGCAGGTATCCAAACACCTAAAAAGCTACCAAAAATGCTAGCTCTCCACTTTACTTCATGCTATGCAGGCCTCTGGATTCTGCAGGAGCCATGCTGTATCTGTATGAGGAGATTATAGGTAAAGTTACTTAGAGTCAATTGGTTTCTTAAGCAATATCAGTGCTTACTGGGAAAGGGCCTAATTTTTAGCACCCATGGAACCATTAAGAAATAACAGAATAGGGCATAAGAGGCAAGAGAGCTGTGCTCATCTTCATGCTATAGCAGGTCTTGGTAACCAAGACCATACAAGAGGCTATTCCTTAGCTCAAACCTACACAGACAAAGCTGGGTGCTGGGTTGTCCCCAAGGGCATCTGGGTGAAGCACAGAAGCAGCCCTATGTCATCCAGGCCTCAACCATGAGTGTGTCAGCTCCTCATTGCCCTTTTCTATCTCACCCACGAGAGGTCTGATCATCCTCCATAGCCACATGGGCTAGACCTGGCCGTCTAACTTTCAGCAAACCGTGTCTAGTGTTACATAAACTGGGATCACACTGCTTACAAACACAACTGAAAAATGTTTTCACTGAAGATTTTTTAGGGTCAATTTGCTTATAATGACTTACATCTCCATGGACCATATTAGGTGCTCAGAAACCAAAACACTCTCATTTCCTAACATTAACAATGTAAATACAGACCTTCACTTGAATTCACTACTGATTATTCCTTCCTAAACACTGGCCTTATGGAATACCTAAAGGTCGATTTAGTAATACTTAACCCAATCTCTTAAAGACAGGGGTCAGGGGGAGGGTTCTGAATGCTTATTGTCAATATGTTATCAACAAGATTTCTGAATGAGTTCAATTTTAGAAACTGAATTCATGTACAAGTGCAGCAATGGTACAGTTTACACTTGGTCACAGTTTTCTCACTTTATGACATTACTATAACAGTTACAGCATAGAAACACACACATACACATTTATATTCACGCTTACACAGAATAATTTTACTGATCCAGACAATACTTCTTTTCAATTAAGAAAAAATGAAAACTGCTGTTTGGCCACCCAGGCATGAAATCTACTTAAACCTGGAATATAAGAATACAATATTTTTCAAGTAAACAGCAATTGCACAGTGATAACAATATACATTGAGATTGACACATGCTGTCTTAAGAGGTCCAGTAATAGCTGGAGACTAAAGAAAGTCAGCCAGAAAAAGTCAATATGCCTTCTCTCTTCCATTCTAACTGTAATCCATCATCCAAGAGAACAGCTTTAGTACAGAAGGGAATAAATGTCCTTATATGAAAATGCAGAGCCCATAAATGTTTAAGTGTCAATGAATTCTGCTCAGTACTTTGGAGAGTCTTCAAATTCTTCTTGTTGAATTAACAGAAAAAATAAACCTTTATGGTTGTTTCCAATGTCAAATTTAAATAGAGATGTTTGAAAAAATATTAAAGTTTCTAAAGTTATATTATGAGCAATACTCTTTTAAAAAGTGGTCTTGTTGGCATATATCCACTGCTTATGTCCATTGTTTTCATAAAATTCTACTTTTCAGTTTTGCTGAACTAAACAAATATAAACAACACATAGTAAACACTGATGCACATCTCACAGGACTCAGTACACTTCACAAAATAGCTCTACTTTAGTTCTATAACTGTTATCAATATAAATAGTTCTGACACTGATGGACAAATACATTTCACATTACAATGAAAGTGTGGTTACAAAGGCATTATTCATTTGATGGCATTTTTCTTGTGGTACTTAGACTTCAAATTGTGTGGCAGAAGGTTTCCCTCCTACTTCATTGAGACTTTGAAGGACCTTCCAGTCACTTAAGAAACGGGCTTTCTTCACTGTAAACCCCTAGAGAATGGAGTTTGAGAATCTACACTACCAAAACATTAGAGAACAGACAACTGATCATGGTGAAAATCACCTTTTCAGTAAGCATGATGAAGTTAAAAATGATAACCGGTGAGGACAGACTCTTCGAGATTTTGAGCTTAAAAAAAAAGAATTTCTTTTCCTGTGCTACCCAGGAGGTGTCAGGCTCACACAGCCTCGGCAGATGTGTCTGTAGACACAGACATGGTCACCTTGGCGATCTTGACCGTGCTCTTGATGCAGCTTTCCGTGGCCCTGTGAACACTGGCTGTGTTGTTCGCGTGTTTGTGTAGGCAGTCCGACTCTCCCATGCTGTTATCAAGAGGTTGTGCGGTGCCTTCACACGAGGGGAACATGCTCCGGAAAGCATGCCTCAGGTCCTTGCTCCTGAGAGCGTAGATGATGGGGTTCACGGTGGAGTTCAGCAGGCAGAGCATGCTGCAGAAGGCAAACACTGTCTTAATGAGCTTGTTCATCTTCCCAAAGACATCATACACCATGATCGCAAGCAGAGGGCCCCAGCAGATGATTAAAACCACCAGGATGAGGACCAGGGTCTTGGCCAGCCTAATGTCCATGCGGGCTTGGTCTGGCCGGGTCACCTGCACCTTGCCATCCTCTGATGTATGGATGATGATGCTCTTCTGGGTGCCACGCTGAATCATGCGGACTGCATGGCTGTGAGCCTTCCAGAGAATGTACATGTATGCATACACGATGAACAGCAGCAGCACACTGGTGACACCGATCCAGAACATCAGGTAGGTTTCATCAATGAGCGGGAAAATGTCTGAGCAAACAGACTGCAGTTTTTTGCAGTTCCAGCCCAGGAGAGGCAGCACAGCGATCACAATGGCTATGGTCCACATCAGGCAAAATGCCACCACAGCCTTGGGCCTGGTGACGATTCTCTTATAGGCCAGGGGCCTGTGAATAGATATGTATCTGTCAATGGCTGTGAGGAACAGGCTGCCAACTGAGGCGGTGAAGGAGGCTGTGACACCACCCAGTTTGAACAGAAACACATTAGGGCTGTCTTTGCGGTGGAACACGTGGAAATCAACGAAGCTGTAGACAAAGATGACACTCCCCAGGAGGTCTGCCACGGCCAGGCTGCCGATGAAATGGTACGAAGGCCTGCAGCGGAGGCTGCGGGAGTGGAGGATGACGCACAGCACAAGCAGGTTCTCCAGGACTGTGAAGGTGCCCAGCGTGAGGGACAGCACGGCGATGGCCAGCTGCTGGCTGGGGTTCAGGATCATGAAGCACTCCATGTCCATGAAGTTCTCCCCACACTGAATATTCTCATTTTCCTTGTACGATGAAAGAGACTTGTTGTAAAATTCGGTGATGTTCACCTGGTCTGCTGGGACTAACTGGGGGTTGTCTCCTGCAGTCATCTTTTCTTGGAAAGGACTTCCCCTAAAAGAAGTTAGAGGAAATTTCTGTGGGAAGTACCCTAATTTGGATGCCATGTCACCTTTGATATCTTCGTACTGAATGTCATTCGAGCCCACGTAGAGGAGGTCTGTGGTGATGGTGCGGAAGGTGGTATCTGCAAGGCCATCCAGGATCGACTTCATAACCTCTGTCTTCAATTAGGCCACACTCAAAATGACTGAGAAAGACACTGGCAGCAGAGAGTCCTAACAGAGGGAAAACAGATAAGCTGAATGGTGAGAAAACCAGAATTAAAACAAAACAAAACAAAACTTCAATGAATACCATCATGCTATTTCATTCCTGTCTCTGAAAACAGGTAAAATCCTTGCCAGATTCAGTCAATAAAATGACTCAGTCACTTAGTTAAAAGCCACCCAAAAGTTGCTGACCTGGCATGCACCAGAAACACATTTCTTTCATTATTTAAGTTCTCTGGATGTAACTCACTGTGAGAGTCCTGTGGGCACTGCCAGGGTCTGATGTCAAGTGAAGAAAATGTGTGTTTGGTGTGACATGCCTTCCACATTCATGTTAGGAAGGGTTTACCACCTGGCTTCGGCAGTCACACATGCAGTGTCCTGATGCTGGTGGGGATGAGGGAGAACAAGGTGTCACACCGTCTGCTCTGGAAGACTCTAATCACCTTGTCTCACAGGTAAGACAATATGCAAGACCACCAAAAAGCAAGACAGTGTGGAATCACAGATTGTGCCGTGTGGCCTGTGTGCTGAGTGTGAAGGGGGAGGGAGAAACTGCTGAGACCCAAAGAAAACATGAGCAGGAAAATCTGGGACCCAGTCCTGCCTCCACCAGGCAAGTTTCTTCACCTAGAGGTGACGTTTGGACTGAGCCATGGCTGAGGAATACTTCTAATATGTGTACACTAACCAAGAAAAATGTCATGAAGGGCAAACTTGCACTGAGGCTCCTGAGAAGACCAAGACCTTTATCACTGGAGCAGAGTGACAGGAGACAGTGCTTCCTAGTGGTGCACCCAGGAGTGGTGTGCTGACACAGCACCCTGAAGGCAGCCGACAGACCTCTTCATGAAAGGCTTTCCACGTGGACAGCACTGGAAATAAGGATGGCTGAGAGGATAGCCCAAATTGTAAGAGCTCTTCAATTCTAAGCAATTTGGTTTTGTTTCAAAATAAACAGCCAGAGAATTGATTTTACTATTTGTAAACACTTGTTTAAAATGTGGCTATTAGAAGTTAGCTTATAAAAAATTAGAAGTACTGAGTGATATCTATAATAGTTAAAATAATCATAAAAACCAGTATTTATTTACTGTCTTTTTGTTGCTACTAAAAATATTACACTGTACTGGAGGGAAAAAAGATAGTCATTATCTTGGAACAAATTTAAAAATTCTGAGTTCTCCTGCTAACATACAGAGACTCTATCTGTCTGAATTAATAATTCATGTATTCATCCATTCAACAAATTATGTGGCACCCACCACATGCCAGGCACTACACTAGCCATTAGGGACACATTGCATCAAGTAAGAGCCCCTGACCACATGAACTATAGTGTAGCAGGAGACAGGCAGCTGACCCCATAAACATGAGAAAGTGTGGTGACAGCTCCAACTGGGTACGTACAGGATGCTGTGGGATCAGCCAGTCTGAGGGGTCAAAGGAGGGTTCCCCAAAGAAAGGGTGATAAGGTCAAGACTATTCAAGATTAGTGTGGGTGGAGACAGGACATACCATTTAATCCTGAGTTTATACATTTATTTCCATAACTAGAGTGTGGAATGTTATTTGTTTCCTTATGTCATTCACCAGCCTTATAATATGGTAACAGATGAGAAAGAGAGGGCTGGGCTCCCACAGAGGTGTTCGCATGAACCTAGTGGGTGACTACTGAATTTTATTAATATTAAAGTGGTAATTTAATAATATTTATTGGCCTTTTCTTAAAATTAGAGGAAAGAAAGGCAATTAATCTGATGAATATTTGACCCCAAAACCAAAGCTTGATCCCACTTCTAAGCAGCTTTGGGAGCCAGTCCATCCCATAGGTCATCTTCTCTCAAGTAGAAAACTCTCCTCTCGCACTTCCCAATAAAAGACTGATTTATTTGAAATTTTCATTATTTATTTATTTACATTATACATTCAAATTTCAAAAGGCAATATAGCATCAATCTCTCTGATCCAGATGTTCCAGCCAACCAGCTTTTCTCCTCAAAGGTAAGAAGTTTCTTGTCGCTCCTTCCAGAGATAGTCCGTGCATATTCAAGCAAATATGTCTAGCCATTCCCCCTTCACTCACTTTTAACAAACTCTAACATACCGTACACAGTATTCTGCACTTTACTTTTTTACCTACAAGAAGACAATTCCACAAAACCTCCCTGTATTTTGTAGCTGCCTTAAGTATTAAATACAATGCATTAAGCAAAGTATTAAGGATAAATGCAAGTTTAGTTTATCATCTCTTTGCCAGTACAAAGGATGCTGCAGTAAATCACCTTCAATCACATTATTTTTCACACTTCTTGCAGTATTGTGAATGATCTTTGTAGTTGTCCAAGCTCATACCTTGGACTTACCCCTGACTCCTCCTTGTTTGCCTCTGTAATCAGGTGGACTACCAAGTATTGCTGATTTTTCCCTTTTGAAGCACTCATGGAGAGCTGATTATGTGCAAGTGGCATCTGGAACCTCTTACATATACCAAATTACTTATTTTCACAATGGTCCTATGAGGTAAGTGCTGCTATTGTCCCCATTTTATAGGAGAAAGGCACAGAGAGGGTAATTTGCCATTCAGGTAGCTAGTAGGTGGCAGAGCCAGAATGAACCCAGATGTTCTAGTTTTAGGGCAGTGCTGTCCAATAAAAATGTAATGTGAGCTACATGTACAATTTTAGTTTCCAGTATCCAGGTAAAAAGAAACATGCAAATGAGAAAATTAATTTAATAATACAGTTTACTTAACCTAATATATCCAAAATATTATCACTCATGTTGAATATGTAGGTTCAACATGTGGACCTAGCCACATTTTAAGTACTTCATAGCAATATGTGGCTAGGGACTACCATATTGGACAGGACAGTTCTAGAGCTGCCTTTCACCTTCATGAGATACCATCTCTCTAACCTGAGACAGGGGTGCTGCTATCTCCCTTCTTTGCCCCAGTGATTCCAACCAGTGGAGGGGACACTGAGTCAGGAGTCAGCAGTCCATGATCAGTGTTAGACCCATGTCAGTCTTTCAAACCTCCAGTGTTTCATCTGTGAAACAGGGAGGAGGGAGAGGCCTAAATCACAGAAGTGTGCTGAAAATTAAATATTAAAAAAAGCACTTAATATGGTCCCTGGCACAAACCTTAATTCTTCAATAAATGTTAATTATTAACATTTCTTAGTACTATAGCTCTCAGCCTTATATTATTAATTATATGTCAAGATAATTCATTGTCCTAATTAGATCATAGGCTGTTAACTCAATTTTTATTTTTGTCTCAGTATTAGATCACAAGGAAAATAGAGGATGTACACATGGGTAGAGGAGGGAGAATGTCTACATGTATATTCTAGGCATTTGAGAGAGACTACATATAGTCTATCATGACAACTCTATCAGGTGCTTATTTGTAATTCCCATTCACAGACAAGGAAATGGAAACCATTAGATGTTAAGTAAATTATCCAGAATATGAAAAGTATGTAGCTGAATCCATGTTGCTCAGACTCTGGAATTTCTGCTTTTGGTAGCTTTAAGGATTAATAGTAACTAGGAAAAGCCATTTTGAATCTTATATTCAAGTCTTCTAGCTTCCTACAAACACAAATTGAGGTTTATGATCAATCGTAGTCATTAAGACTACCTTCTACTAAATCACTATTTCCTATCCCAGCCCATCTTGGTGCATCTGCCTATTGGCATGGCCTCAAGTACTAAAACTAGCATTTGGAAGAGCTATAAAGTGAAGAAAAAGGATCACAGGCTTTATTTCCATAATGTAAAACATGTGTGCCTGTGATTTACTCTAGATTAAAATCACCACATATGTGATCACAATTTCTTATTTTATTGCAACCAAGAATGGTTATGAGATACATAGTAATTTCTGTTCAATATAAGCCAAATATAATTAAAGAATACAGTTAAAAATATATATGAATTTCATGCAGTTCAAGGATCTCAGTAATGTCCAAATACCACTGTGTACAGGCTATTTTAAGTTAATGGGAGCATGGCAGGAAAACTGTTCTCTGCATTTCAGTAATTCTTGCTTTTATTTCTACATCTGGGTTATTACAGTAATTTCCACCTGCTTATTTTTTGCACTGAGAGTTTTCTTTGAGAGTTCATTAGTAATATAGTTCAGGCTTTGGGGGATGCAACTGCCATTAATTTTGTTTGTGTTTGCTACTGGGAAGAATCATAATTGAAAATTTCTAGCAAGATGCATAGATGTACTTATTAAAGAAGCAGTTGGTTTTTATTACAGTTATAGTAAAAGAATGATTGAATGACATTTAAGGGGATTTTCCTTGAATTATGCTTGAATAAAATCAACATATTCTGATACTTTAAGTTACAAATCATGCCTTTATAACAATAATAAAATATTTTAATGTGTTGTATCTATTTTATTTTATTTATTTTATTTTATTTTTGAAAACTTCAATTTATTAGAATACCACCCCCTGTTCTTTTTATTTATTTCTCTATATGCACATCTGCCTCTCTATCCAACCCCCCAACTTCCAAACTTATACATCAATTAGCAAGCTATGGTTATAATCAAAGAAATTTTATGCATATGGTAGCAGCATGGAGTTTTTAAAAAATCGACCCAGAGTCTAGATCTTTGTTTCTATAATCATTAAGGATATAAGATGTCCATGTTCTGACTAGGATGAGCATTGAGAAAGTCCTCAAAACAAACTTCAAATAGCATCTTTTCTATATCAGTATAATTTAATAGCTGGTTATATTATTTTTCACTGCCCAGCTGGAGACCTTCTTTATTTCAGAGAGACGTTTCAATAATTTAGATATTTATCACTTTTAAGTCAAAATCCATGCAGTTTTGGCCTGCACAGTATCTCTGGGGGAATAGACACCAGGCAGCATCTGCTTCCTGCAGGTCGTCCTGTCCAGAAAGGCAGGAAACCCACTGGAGGCCTCAGGAGGACTGGTGCTCCCAATGCAATTACAGACTGTTATCAGCCCAC